TTGTTATGCTGTGTACTTTTATGTACTTGCCCGTGAAAAATGTTATGTAATTTGTTTATTTATTGTTTAATTTTCCTCTACATTGGATATAATTGGCAAATGTATATACAATAGTATAAAAACAATTTGTTTCAATAAACTGCAATTTATCATCCAATTTTTGTATAATCAATTGTTTTCTATTATGTCGTTGCTCACTGTAAATGTATAAATCTATCTCGGACAAAAACTTGGACCAGCAGACACGTGCAGCGTGACTAATTCCACTCGTTCGTGGAGAAACTGTTGCAAATTGCAAATTTCCTACAAATTCAATTTCTTAGAACAGCGGGAGAAACTTCTTGTTTAACCTCTTGCGCTCGAATGACACGACATGCCACGCACGTCGAGAACTTTTTGCCTCAAGTTGCAACATTTTCTCAGTTTTAAGTATATTTGAACGTAACCCAGGCAAAACAAATAAGTTTATCACTTCTTAATGATTTCTATCCAGTGGCATCGTATCGAGTTCGAAGGGAAAAGTAAGCGACGAATTATCGTATCTATTTCGGTCACTCGTTATGGTCCGCGAACCATGTTGCCAGCGCAAGATGTTAACCAACATCAGTTTATAGTATGGGCAGCTGCAGCAAACACACATAAAAACAAAATACAAAAAATACAAAACAAGTTCCTACGAATCAATCTTGGACAAACCATACGATAAACCCCATGAAAACCCTACATTCAATAGCAAACATCCCTGCCATCAACGAATACATTAAAAAATCACTCATCGAGTCATATAACACAAATCACCCAAATCTACTCATCAGAAACACCGGAAACTACGAAATATATATATGCCATACATTAAAAAATCATTCATCGAGTCATATAACACAAATCACCCAAATCTACTCATCAGAAACACCTACGAAACTGCAAATATACCACTCAAGATAAAGACAAGACTACCAAAGCACGCACTAGAGTAATAAGACAACACACAACAACACTCCACACCACGTTCGCTTTTCACGAACTGCAGGTTTCTTGAAAATTTTCTCCTGCAACCTCACACGCACAAGTAAATCATATTAAAACAAACCCTACAAAGAAACAAACTAACACCTAAACTTTTCAATTTACACGCAGGTTACAGGGCTACAGAAATACCCCAAGGACTGCACCATTAAAACAACCAGCCAATAAATTAAAAAAAAAACATCAGTTCGAACTGTTGGCGACATGAGCGTGGAAATGAAAATGTAAACTGTTCAAAAATAGATTTCATGGTCTGTTCTCAGCGACATCTCCGACGCAGTTTGATCGGGACTTTTTGAACGAGTCTGTACGACTGGCGCACACATGTATACGCGGATGGTATCGCGAGTGTGTTCGTGTCTACGCTATCGAGCAATGAAGAGAAGCCGGTTTAAGCCCCAGCTAAACACGGCAGAATGTCTATAACTCTCAGAACTCGTCCGTCTCGAATTAACCTCTCTCAATTAAGACAATGGTCCCCGGGTCCCCCGGACCATCCTCTTCTCATCGAAGCGAGAATGGAGCAGCCAGAAGGGAAGGATCTCAGAGGTTCTCGGGACTGAGTGAGTCTCTACAGCCCCCTTTCTCTCTCTCTCTCTCTCTCTCTCTCTGTGCCTATGTGTGTGTGTTCAATGTATATTTATATGGAAAACTCGAGAACAGCGTGGCAGACGAGGGGAGAGGAGAAGGGCGTGTAGAAGACGAAGGACCCGGAGAGAAACGGAGGAAGGATTGCTAGTTTTCGGCCCGGGCTACGTGGACAGCTGTTTGGAAGAGAAATGAGAAAGTTTGCTCGCCAAGAGTGGGAAAATGAGTGTTATCTTTCGTAGCCCGAAAGTGTTCTGATTCTGATATTTGCCGAGGGACGTCTGGTATTTTTTCCCCCCCCCCTGTCTCCGCTCCTCGAAAGTTAGCTCACGGAACTCCCTGCGGTTCACGAATTTCCCGTCCAGTTCGGTCGTTGAATTCGATCCTGAATTTTGCGTTTCGGAAATTCGCGGATAATTAAGAAACACCTCGGTGATTCTCCGACGTGTAGAGAAGCACCAAATATGCGTCGAATGTGCTCGTAGTCTTCCCAGATCCTTCGCTCGTCACACAGCACGCAGTCATGGGTTATCGATCAGCAAGTGGAAACAGCCGACGAATGGAGTAACACGATGTCACGGTTAGGGATGGGATCAAGCCCAATCCGAGCCAAGCTCGAAACGTCTTTGCAGGTTTCGTCCTCGTGGCATTCGAATACGCGGCCACACAAAATTGGTGAATAAACTCTCGCTGGATCGAATCCTACGTAGAGAAAGACAGGGAACGTTGAACAATCTTTGATTCTCGCATTCCAAAGAATACCATAAGAATCTTAGGAAACTTAGTTACATCATTGTGTTTCCACTTGCGAAAGTACTCGTCAAATATTCGAAACTATATATCACGAGCGTACTTGAAAGTAGCAGCAAGAAATATTATATATTTACCGAACGAACCAAAGGTTCGAACCTGCACGACTCGATCCCATCTCTAGGCCACGGTACGTACAGAGGCACTTGGAAAACGTGATACAGGGATTCACAGCAGTGTCGTGGCAAAGACCGGAAGGAGGAGCGTCGATACATGTTCCTGTCTCTCCCTCTCTTTCTTTCTTTCTCCCTCTGGGAAGGATCGCTCCGTCTCGAAGGAGCACTCTCGCTTTCAACCAAGACGACCAGACTTATCGATTAATCGGCCAGATAGACGGCGGGCCACGGTTCACGATCGAGAGCCGAGGATTCGATCCGAGCGCGTTTATCTTGCCTCGCGCGCGGGGGGGCGGATAGCTGCCTCCGCAAGTTCGTCGTCGAACGGAACATCCGGCCAGGAAATGAATCGTTCCGCGAGGAAACACGACGAGCTCGAGAGAGAGAGAGAGAGGTTAGGTCTCGGGTTTGAGGTTAAGGCGAGCGTGGAAATTCGAGAATTCCGGGGGACCGTGACTTGGAACTCGGGTAAGAATGTTTATGCAAATTCGGCGCGAATATAATTGGGGAGGAATTGTCGCTGGGGAATTCCGAGAGTATATACTTTCGCCGGGTATATTGTTTTACCGTGAGAGTTGAAACAACGTTTAACGTCTCGCTCAACAACTGCCTCCTGCCATCGAGTCGAACGAGCGACACGATGGAGGACTAGACGCGCCTGAAATTCAAATTTTCGTCGAAAAATGTTCAACACTCTCGAACGTAGAGAGTTGAAAGGGGGCTGGCTGTTATCGGAGATCGGGAATTTCGGCCGGCGTGAAACAATTACAAAGAGCTCCTCGGTGTAAAGACTGGGCAATATAAAATTTCCACGGGTGGAAAAATGAGCCGGGCACCGGTGGAAAACGAGTGGAAAGCCTTTTTAATAGAAAGGCTCAATAGCCAGTGTGTCACGGCCCCCGATTTCCATATTCGATACGGACCGGCGCGATTTTAAGGGACGGCTTAAATTGTTTCACGTAAGCCCTCCGCCCCCTCGTTCACGAGCGAACCTGTCATAAGCCAATGTACGTCCAACGTGTAAAATCAAGATATATACGTTTTCGCATTTCAGCAAATGGATCATGGACACGTGTTATCCATTGATGATATAAACGTTCGACAAACGAGCGTCCATGACGTCGAAAGATTACAATGGATCCCTTTTGATTTGTACTCGGAGGTTCCCGTTAATTTCGACACACTGCCGAAACGAGTTCAATTGCAAAGACTGAAGAATCGAATGATCCAGGGTGATGAAAGGTTACCCAATCATCGAGTCTCTCTCAAATATAGCGCAATCGATTTAACGCTTTATCCAACGTTAATTACAAACGGTTAATTTTATCTAAATCTCATCAGTCATTAAGAAACCAAGGGACCTAGATGAAACATCAAATAACTTAGGCGAAGCCAACCAAACGAGACGCATAATCCAAACGATAGTTGATTCCAGCCTGAAAATAAACCGCCAATAAACTTCCTTCGACTCTGTCCAGAAAATTGCCCGGCCAACGCGCGCAGAATCCCATTGAAATAATAATCCAGAGGGGAAAAATGAATTCGCGGAGAGTCGAGAACTCTCTCTCCCTTTCTCTCTCTCTCTCTCTCTCTCTCTCTCTCTTTCTCTTTTTGTCTCTGTCTCTCTGTACAGCGGAAACGTTTCAAGCGAAACGGAGCCAGGTACGCGATCATTTCCGGCCCTCCTGTTCGGCGGCTGGTGCTCGGACGCGTATGAAGAATCGTATTTAAAATTCATTTCCCCCTTAACGGCCGTTTAATCAGTTCCTCCCCTTTGTCCTTGCCATTAAATTATGTTCTTTCGCTTGTGCGCGGCATGGAAAATGGGAAATGTGTAAGGTAGCCAGAGGGCTTCTAACCGGTGAGGCGCGGAGCGATGGGGGAGGTGGGTTGGGTCAAAGTGTTTCTTTGAAAGAAATAAATAAACTCAGTCAATACAGGGTTCAAACACACGCATACAGACAGAGAAGGAAAGAGATCCATTTCACGGGGGATCGAGCCACCGTTTCTAAATCACTTTTATCTCTAATTTCGAAATAATTTCACGAGGGCCGGCCGTGTGGCTGCGGGCGAACGGATCTTCCTTCCGGGCGTGGGAAAAAGTTTTAATTTGTCGCTTCGCCCGATATAGCTTCTTCTTCACTTCCGGGAGTTGGGGTTCACTCTCGTGCCTTCTTCCACGGTTCCCTGACAACGAGGATCGTTCGACAGCAATAATAATAACAGAGCTTTAAACGCACATTTATATTCTCGCGTGGACGGAACTTTGGCAAGTATGTACGTGCGTTGCCCTCGTTCACTCGGGGAATTTTTCCTTTTGTCAGTTTCACTGGAACTGGGATATTTTAGGGAGAATTCCCATGCCTTCTTAGGGAGTTAATTTTGAAAACAGTTGTCCGACAGTTTTCAATGTGATCGAATCGAAGAGAGAGAATTTCATCTGAGGAAGATTCGACTCACCGCTTGTAGCACTGCGCTCTAGTTTTCTCCAGATGTCCCGTCCCTCCTGAAATCACCGCATTGTACACTCAAACTGGCCAACTCTGCAACGAAAGGAAAAGAATCGCCAATTATAAATCCTTTCGCTAGTCGATACATCTTTATAATAGTTAATACATTTTATAATATCTCTCTGAATGGGTGATGTAATTAATTTTTCGTCGAATCGCGATTTCAGTGTTGCGACATTGAAATTCCGCGCTCAAGTGCTCTGGACAGTCTCAAAATCTGGCTCGTGTCTCGCGTTTGGAAATCGAATAAGTAGCTGCACGTTCCCTCGTATACGGCCGCCATGTATCCGCGTTTAAGTACTTTCAATTTCCGCCAATGTACGCCGGGAATAAATATAGTTGTCGACGTTCCTCGCACTTTGTTACAACACGCGGTGCTGGCCACCCACGATATTTGGGAATTGTGCCACGACGGGATCAGAAAGACAGGGGACCATAAATTTCAGGTTGAACACGAGCACAGTCGTCGAGGAAAATTAAAAATACTCTTTCAATATTAATCCGTTTCCATTGATAATTTTGCGCGTCTAAGTGAAAAATAGCTGTCAAACTGTGAAAAAGAAATCGTACAACAATCCATTTGGTCTCATTCTAAGACACGAAGCTCCTACTTCACCTCTGAGTTCGTTCTTTTTCCTACGGAAAAAGTTTTCTTCCTAGATTTTTACATCGTCAAACGAAAAGGTAAAATATATCTTCGTCTCTTAAGACATCGGAGAAAGAAATTCTTCCGTGACTAGATCCACCTAGATCGAGATTTTCTTTCTTGCGTAATCGCGACCGTATCGAAGTGTCGAGACAACTTTCCACCGAATATTTTCGTCCCAGTTCTACACAGCTCAACGCTTCGGACTTGGCGCGCGAGGCTCGTCCTCTCTGTCGATAATCACTTGCTGGAAACGCCAAGATTTATCGAACTCTCGGTATATTGTTTACAATGGCAGTATCAGATACAGCTGTTCGACCGGGTATCAGACCGAGGCGGGCCCCAGAATCTCAATACAAGTACACACGTGCAAACAGAGAATGGCAAAATCCTAGCTCGAGGACACGATGTTCTCGAGGAGAAGACGGAAAGATCTTGTGGACATTCGCGCACACGAGAGCCAGGGATCGACACATACTCGCGAGAAACTGTGCACCAACCGAGGGAAACCGTGCGCCGAAACGTTCGATGTAATATCTGCCAGCCTGGTCCGCAAACAAACTTGCACGCTGTTTCTCTACGCGGGAATTTCTTTCTGCTACCGTGTACGGCGAAACAGGCCATTTAGATTTGATAAAATATTAAAAAGAAGAAAAAGAAAAAGAAAGGAACGGAAGGAGGAAAAGTTAAGTTGCGAAAGCATTGCTTCGTTCGAGAGTGTGTATTGGAATTTGATCGACGAGAAGAAAGTTTGCTTCGTAGCAAAGATCTGTTTCAGAATCTTACAGATGTGATTCGACAGATTTGACAAAATCAAGATTATTATTTTATCAGATAAACGAAACAGATTTTGTACGACGAATGCTTGAACCTCTTTTTAAGTGAAATTCAATGATCTACGAGATTGACAATTATAACCCGTATCGTGCAAAACTGCCAAGCACAATCAACTAATAAACAACTGAACCATCAGTTATCAGTTTAGCATCGACAATGGTGAAACAATCATCCTAATTCACGGTACCGGTAATTCACCGATACGCGAATTACGTTCAACGAGAAAATTTCGAGGCCAAACGAACACGATCTCGTTCGATCACTCAGATTGGCAAAACTTGAAATTTCGAAAGAAATGTTTCTTGGGTCTTGAATTCGAAGGTTCGACACAACATAACAGTACAACGTAGCTAAATTACGTGCAACACCTTCCGCTGATTTTCAATTCCCCGGTATCAATCATTATCGATCGTTGAATGTATCAAATTTCCCAAAAATAAATTACAAAAAAAAAAAAAAAAAGTAAGAGAAATT